CCTACAGCCGCTGAACTACAAGTGAACATAGATCCTCCAACAAAAATGGAAGTCCTGAACGCCATAAAGCTACTGAAAATGCGGGAAAGCAGCAGGACCAGATGGGATCCCGCCAGAAGCACTGAGAACAGATGCAGAGACAACAGCAGTAGACATGCTCACACCACTATTGCAGAAGGTGTGGAAGGAAGGAAGGAAGAAAGGAAGGAAGGAAAGGTATCTGGTGACTGGAAGAAGGGTTACCTTGTCAAACTGCCGAAGAAGGGAGACCTCTGTTTGCAAGAACTGGCGCTTTGCATCATCATAGAACAGAGTATAGAACGGCAGTCAACTCTCTACCCCAACTTTATCGACTTTGAGAAGGCCTTTGACAGCGTCGACCGAGAGGTAATTTGGAAACTGCTTCATTACTACGGAGTACCGCAAACCTTTATCCGCCTCATTCAACAACTATATGAAGACGCCACATGCCAGCCAAGTAATTCACAATGGGAAGCTCAGTGATGCCTTTGGAGTGGAAGTGAAGACAGGAGTGAAACAAGGTTGCCTACTATCCCCCATGATATTTCTGATTGCAGTCGACTGGATCATGCAACAAACAGTGAGGAGCGAGAAGAGGGGGATACGCTGGACCGGGGAATAGATTCTAGAAGATTTGGATTTCACAGCCGATGATGATTTATGTCTAGTGTCACACAAACTTGAAGATCTACAGGCGAAAACTAACAAGTTGATAGAAGAGGCGAGGCAGCGAAGACGGGACTTCAAGTGAATATAGAGAAGACAGAGGTGATGAGGATACCGCACCACCACCATCAACAAACTCCTGTCACCATCAACGGGAGAAACTTAAAGGAAGTAACCTCCTCCACCTATCTAGGCAGCACTGTTTCGACTACAGGCAGCATAGACGAGGATGTCAAAGTCGGAATCGGAAAAGCAAGACAGGCGTTCATTAGCCTGAAACCAGTGTGGAGATCTTCTGCACTCAGCATGTGGAACAAGATACGGATTTTCAACACCAACGTCAAGTCAGTGCTCCTGTATGGTTCAGAGACTTGGCGCGTCACGAGAGGGATTTCGAATAAACTACAGACATTCATCAACAACTGCCTACGCTGGCTCGTTACTGAAGATCAGATGGCCAGAAAGAATAAGCAGCAAGGAGCTCTGGGAACGAACCAACCAAGAACCTATCACCCAACAAATATGCAGAAGGAAGTGGAGATAGATTGGGCATACACTGAGAAGGCTGACTGGGGACATCACGCGACAGGCCAGTCCCTCGAGTGGAACCCAGATGGGAAGCAACGAGTTGGGCGTCCGTGGCGAGGGTGACATGGAGGAGGTCGTGCGAGGAAGAAATGAGAGCTTCAGGGATGTCGTGGAGCCAGGTTGAAAAGATTTCAGAGAACATAGTTCACTGGAGACGTGCTACTGAAGCCCTATGTTCCACTAGGAACCCAAGGGACGAATAATAATAATAATGAGTAATTTCATCATAAAGCGGACCAGCTGGTCGTGGTATCGTAGAATTTTTATGTTTTGCAGTACGTGCATAGAGTCTTATGTGCTTGCTCCTCGTGTTGTCAGATGACCGACATGCAGAGAGCTTTGAGTGAAGAGGACGTTGGTGATCTGATGGAATAACTCTTGCCAGATGTTTACATGAGTTAATATGCTTGTCCAAAACGGTTTTGACCAGAGGGTTTAGGGGCACACAACTAATTCTGCTTACAATCTTCAGAGCTCTACGCAATATAGCACAGCAACATAGCGTTGTCAGCAATCCAGGAAAAAATAAAGGGGGGCGATGGAGGAGGACGGGCAAGATGCAGAAGTTCATAAGCTACAAGAGGAGGGGCTGGGTAACACCGTGTGCTATCAGCCTCCTCATGTAGAAAGTTTGGCAGAAAATTCGTTTGGAAATTAATGAGGTATGAGAAGACCAGGAAAGGTCCGAAGAAAAACACACCAAGATAAATCACACCCATAGCATTCTCTAATGAACAACCATCAACGGAACAGTGATCATGAGAACTAAGCAGTTGTCGTAAGTTACGTGTGCCTCTAAAACTGAAGTTTATGATCCGACATTTTTGGGAATTAGGCGTAAGACCGTTCTCCGAGGACCATCGCCTAACAGTAGACAGGACATCATTCAGTTGGGAACAATCTGCTAAAGAGGAGATAGGTAAGGAGACCATTGGATCGTCGGTATATTTATTGAAATTGATACTAACTCAAGATGCTAGGTCATGCGGAGAGAATAAGAAAGGACACGGGGATAGGATGGTTCCTTGGGGAACTCTAGTCACAGTAAGCAATCAGGTGGAGCGCTCCCCTGTGTCAGAGAAATGAGAATGAGGCCAGCTGGTTATCCGGGACCCAGTGTCTGTCCCGTTTAGCTTGTTCAGCAAGAGGGGTCTTGGGATAGAATCAAATGCCAAAGTATAGTTTTAAAATGCACACCTGACAAACTCGGCATTTTTACCAAGACTGTTGGCAATATCGTGATATGAGAGAATGGTGGCATCCAAGGCGCCTCTTCTGGTCTTATGAACAAATTGATTAGGGTCTCTGAAAGCCTTCGGTGAGGGCTCGAGGACGGGAATTATTAGCTTCTGCATCATTTTCAAGAATGGAGAGGTGACTGCAATCGCACGGTGTCTCGTGTATGCACCCGGAGTCCTAGACTTAGGTACGGGGACTATCTTAATATCTTTCCAGGCAGCTGGTATGAAGCTTTCTAATAACCACCCGTTAAACATGTTAGCTAGTGGATGGCATAAAATATCAGCACACTTTGTGAATACGAGGCTTGGCATATCATCCGAACCTGAACTGTGTGAGGAATTCAGGGATTTGAGACAGTTGAAAACACCTTTCGCGGTGAATTCTGGACACCGTTCTCACCGGACATAGATAGTCGAAATGGGACCAAACCACAGAGTATAGGAGCTGAGAATTCCGTGAATATACGAGAGAAATCGGATAGCTCAGAGAAACTGAGACAAGCGTCACATGAATATTTGTTATATAAATACAGCGATGCTACCTATGTAGTCACTTGAGGGTTTGAAGTAGATGTAACTCGAAATGCACCAGTGGGTATTGATGAAGGTAGCCACTCCACCTCAACTTTACTTAGCAGAGCTACGTCGATCTCGACTAAAAAATTGAAATCATTCAGAGAAATAAAGTTGTCGTCACAAAGTTTGTGTAACCAAGTTTCTTACAGTGTACTTACTCCAGTATTACGGTACATATCGGAGGATAAACAACGTTACAAGTAATCTAACCTTCCATACAGTGACCTGCAGTTCGTGCTTGTAGTTCTAGTTAGGGTCATCTGAGATAAGGTTGTTCGATTCAAAGAGCGTTACCGTCCGTCGTGATACTTTTTCCCCATCTTATGTGATACTGGCAACACAGAAGACCGTGAGCCTTAAAAATGTGTCTGAGTATATATAATGTGGTCAAAGGGCATAACAGAATGACTAAAACAAAATAATCTGTTGAAAATTTGATGCAATATGACAGAGGGAAAATTTAGTGGCCCAGATATTCAAGCAGGCCGCTATGCAAGGGCCCCATAGTAGCAAAACAAATGATCATGCAATGATGTAGCTAGTTAACTAATATGTTAGCTATCTTGTGATAGCTAGGAAATCAGGACGAAGGTGAGATATGCAGTTCACGAAACTCGGTTTCGTGGCATGACAAACCATATTTCTGCGTTGTCTGGAAAGTACGACATAGACTGAATTGATCATGCTTTCGGCTGCATGTGATTGTTTTTACGATCGGGATGTAAATTATTCATATGATTTTTTAGTTGAGGAAATTCCTTCTACAAGGAATAGTTACTTTTGTCACATTTCAATGATAAGTGGACCAGGCATGCATTTCAAGTAATCTCAAAAACTATCAATCTCACTGGAAACATCTGAATCTGATGTCATAAACCTGAAGCATAGCTTTCTGAATTTTTCATCATGACTTCTAGATGGAGAATTGAACATCAGTTACCCGTACTTTTTATGTAAGTGGAGATGGATTGGATATACACTGAGAAGACCATTTAGGGCCATCACGTGCCAGGTCTCGAGTGAAACCTGAATGGGAAACGACGAGTTAGACGTCCGAGGGTGACATGAGGAAATCATGTGAGGAAGAAATGAAAGCTTCTGGGGGGGCAGTCATGGGGCCAGGTCCAAAAGACTGCAGAGAACAGAGTGAAATAGAGACGTGCTACTGAAGCCGTATGTTTCCACTAGGAACCCAAGGACAAATAACAATGAATTTGCTTGAATTATATATTACAGTTCCATTTATCTGCAGTCTTTGTGAAATTCATAGTATGTGTTTTCGTTACCATCATGGTTATCTGTACTGAATGATTAGTGATTAGGGGAGGTATTTTCCACTAGATTAGATATTTAACTTTCAATCACTGGCTCGCATTCTGAATTTTTTTTCCACTTACGGAAATCTGGACAGTTAGATAATGTGAATAAACCTCACAAAGTAAATGTAGTTCATCTTTTAGTTGCACTAACGTGCACACGGTTGTTGGGTTGTATATATATATATTTTTTTTCGAACATATTCATACAAAAAGTGCGTCATTTTGCACCATATGTAGTCAAAATGTTTAATTTCTTGACTATTAACATATTTCTGTTTTCGTTGAATCAGCTAAATTATTGGTTTTTGGGTTTTTGGCGTTAATCTGTTATGCCAGTGATTCCGATTTTACTTGGAATGCGTTTGCAATTTATGATAACAGGTCTCGTATATATTTTGTTACTATTATTGTTTAAAATTGAATAAGTCACTTTTTATCCTGTCTATAAATATCTGTCTCAAGGACAATGAATACTGTTAATTTCTGAATAAATAAATGGTATAACCTCATCGGTCTAGACACGTGAACCATAAACCTGTTGTTGCACTTATTCTCGTTATTACACCTATTACTTTACTGATATAAAACAATGTACGATGATAGTAAGCAAATGAAGGCATTGTTTATCGGAAGTTACAAAAGTAATAACTTGCCAATGATTGTCGATAAAAGGTATACTCTAAATCGAAGCAGTGTCCATCTATGGAATTTTAAAGTCTCCTTTGTACATTGGTTTGTTTATTGTCTCATATACCAAGTTTTGTTCGGACTTCACTCGTGAACTCATTGCATGCACATCATTTCTAAAAAACGGAGTCTTTAGTCACATATAGGTGTCAATCTCTTAAAAAGGCTATTAGTATACAATACACATTCAGTTGGTGTTTTTTGACACTGTGCACAAAACTTCTCACTGAAAACTGTATTTTGTAAGCCAGTTTCAGTGAATAGAAACTGCATGGTTTTATGATCCGTTGACTAACAACCAGATGTCCTTTATTTTTAGTCACCTCTGACTGTTATGGCTAATCTATTAAACTGTGAATATATATGCAACCTTTGTTTCGGGTTTTACATGGTTTCTTTTGTGATGAACTTCTCATCATTAAGTACTAAACCCTCCCTGTTCAGCTTAGGGATACCAATTTAATGTTTAAAAAACGTATTCAGTGTATGCTGGCGAAAGAACGAACTAACTAGCATTGAACCTCACATTCATGTTTCCATTAGTAATAATTCACTCATGTTACTTTACTTGAAATGATAATGGTTATAGGAAATTTACTTGTCAAATAAGTTTTGCTTGTCATAACTTACCACTCCGTCTTTTTGTTGGTTAATATGGTTGGTATGCTTGTTTATGTTTCTATCAATAACCCACTTTGTTTTCTCTACTGACTTGTAAGTAAATTTGTGAATAATGTTTTCACTTTAGAGAAAAAACAGCTGTGGAGGCAGCTTATGCATCTTTATCAACAGATCTCAGCGTCGAGCTTCAGAAGCCACAGCTAAACAACGTACTATTGATACACTTAATCATACCTCCCGTAACCTGGCCAACCAACGTGTTGAAGCTGAACGTCGATTGACTGATTATAATCGTGAAAAGGAGACTTTGGAAAGTGTACTTAATGATATTAAAAATCATGTCATGAACGAACGTCAAAAAGTTGAAGAGATGCGCATTAAAATCAACTCTCAACAAGCTTCAACTAAAGTACGCTTTTATAGTTTAAAGTTTTATATATATATATATATATATATATATATATATATATATATATATATATCATGCTTATCTATTTAAATACTGTATGAAGTGAGTGTAAGCTAGAGATAAATCAGTGCATTATGCACACTGTCTGTAGGTCTGTCATTTCTTTTGTACGTGTATTTAAGGTTTACTACCTGTTTCTGTTTGTTTTAGTATATTGATCGGTGAAAATTGTTGATTTTCACTAGGGTTTGTTCATAAAGTTGGAAAGCTTCAACCAGGAATCACACTGTGTTGTAATTAAGATCTAAAGAGGCGCAATCGTCGGATTTTATTTTAGTGTTATTACTTTCAAGTTCTTTACTCATCATTCAGTAAAGTAAATCAAAACAATTATGTTTGATTGATCACTTTAAATTTCCTCTTGAAGTACTTTATCATTTTGTTCGTCACGATACATGCTTTTTTAAATTTGTTTTGACCTATGTTGCTTTGTTGACAACTTCTGTTGTTATCTTCATTACCAAATTATGCGCAAATGCTACATGCAAACCTTGTATTTTTTAAGTTTTCCTTAGACCATTTTTACTCTTTTCGACAGTGCATATTTAAACTATTATTTCAAGCAACTGGTTCAAAGAACCTAAATGAAATCTAGCCTCTCTTCGAAGACTCAACTGATATTTATCTTCCTCGAAATCATGGGTATCACACTTTACTTTGGAGTTATCTTCTATCTTTTCATGTCCTTTGTTTTGCTTGTGTTAATATTTTGAAATATATTTCCGGTGCACTGTTTGTGCCAGTACTTCGCTATACTCAACATTAATCCATACATACAAACATCCCAGTTTCATTTTTATATAGTTCGTATACATCTCGTGACCATATCCGTTGCTTTGCTACCGAACTGCTCAAAAACCAAATAGGAGAAGCTCAGTTCAAATTCGTTTTTTTCCCGAAAACCAAACACAAAGCCACCGTCATCATTATCAACATAGGACCAGGGATTACTCCACAGCGGTCCAAGTAGACACACCTCATATCAGCACATCAAGTTTACAAGGTATTAAGATGAAAGATGAAGAGAGGAAGAAAAATCGATCAAAAGCAATGCAAAGTAGTAAACAAGAGGAAGGAGGAATGCGAAAATGTCGAATTCAGCATAGCGGTTAAGATGAGGATAATGTGTGGACACAGCTGCACCACTGACATTAATTCTCAGCCATATCGTCTGGAAAATCCGACCACTGGTTTCTGTTGTCACTTGGACCCCAACCGGCTAGTCTACATCTCACAACATGGCTTAAACCAACAGTCAAGGACTTCATTCAGTAGTGCCATATTTTAGTCTGACCTCCCCGAGCCTTTATCCAGCCAGAACTTATTTCAGCTGACATTGCATGAAGAGGCAGTCGGTGACTAGGCATTCTAATCACATTTCTTAGCCACCTCAGTTTGTGAAGGTTCTCAAAACTCTACATCTGACTTCTGCTGTACTCACATAGTCACATCACAACACGGCGTATGCTACGAAGACAATGGTTTTAAAACAGCAGAAGCCTTCTCATGTCGTCTACCTACAGTGGAGGCTCATAACCGATGTCAGTGGGGCAGATGTATATATACATTATCCTCATCTTAACGCTTTACGGAATCCCACCATTTTCTCATTCTTCCTTTTTTTAGTATTTTGTATTTCTTTTGACTGAGTTTCTTTTCTTCATCTTCCACTTCGCTGTCTTTTAACTTTATGTACTGATATGAGCTGTGGCAACTCAGACCATTACATAGTAATGCCTGGTCCTATGTTGATGGATGATGACGTACAGTGGTCATGTTTCAAAACCATACGGTAGAATGGAGCAAACTGCAGCACAGAACACCCGAGCCCTAATAGACAGTCGGATGTCGTGACAGCGCCACAGATGGCATGAGTCGGAAAAGTCAATCGAGCCTTTTGTTTCTATGCAGAGATTTCATCAACTATTGACCTCCCGGAGCTTATCCAACTTACTAGGTAAGTTCAACACACCTAAGCACTTCACTTCCCACTGTTAGCCTGGGTGCGTCTGAAGACCACTTCTGGAACGACAATTTGCATTTGTGTGGCGAGGAACGCATCCCGAAAATTCTCATGTTACTACTCAAGGTGTCTAATAGACATAACAGAGGTATTATCTGTGTACTTCAGATCTAATAAGGATTCTCCTGCGACAAGATCAAAGTCATAATGAGGGGCAGACCTCGTTAAGTAGGTCTATGATAAAGTTGAAGAGGAATGGAGAGAGTAGACATTGTTGACAGACATCACTCGACGTACTCAAACTACTCTTTTGTCAATCAACCTTCCAGTTACTTCTGCCCCTCATTGTACTCGTAGCTTGTAGAGATACGTTTACGTTGATTCATTAACCTGGAGAAAGCTGTTTAAGTCGGCTTCTATCTTCAGCGACGTCTTTACGACCCGATGGAAATGACACAGGGGTTTCTCCAGATGAGCAAACTTGTCGTATTCCGGTAACTATAAAACTATATGACAACTCATCATATGCTGTAACACACCAAAAGGTATTGGAGTTAGGAGTCCTCAATAGTGTGATCCAGTAATTAGTCACTCCTGTCAGTGGGAGACATTTTCATAAGACCTTTCGATTGATGGGTTTGGACGCTGCCTTGAGGTCGAGGAATACAGGTAATGTCGGGCGCCTCTAAGTTTCCCTTACGTTCCAGAACCCGGCTTTTGGTGAATATCTGGTCGATACACCCACGGCCAGGTTTGAAGTCTTCCTGGTTACCTTGGACTTGCTGTTCCCGAGCTCCACTCGGGCGTCTAGTGGTTATAGAGCATAGAATATTAAACACTGTGTTCGTCAGGCTGACTCCTCCATGACTATCGCAAGAGGACTTTTCTCCTTTCTTAAAGACTGGGATAATCAGTAATTGAGACCATACTTGACTTCCGTACACTAGTTAGCACTTCGGTTAACTTGACAAAAATCACTCTACCACTTCAGAAACTAGTCTATCTGGTCCTGCTACCCTTCTTTGTCTCAGATTACTTACTGCTTTCTCGACTTCTACAAGTGCCTATCTCAGTGTTTCATTTAGAATCCGACTGAATAGCAGGCAACGAAATAGTATCTTGAGACCAGTTGAACTTTTACACGTAGTATTCTGCCCATCGTTCTGGTTGTCTCCTTTGCGAGTGAATCACAGACTTATCCTTCTCCTCTATAGTCACACTAACCGTTGTCCTTTTCGCCCCAGTTTCCTTAATAAGTCGAATTAATTGCCTACTGTTGCCTGTCGTCGCTGCCTTTTCCATCTCTTTAGCCTTCACTGCCGACCACTGTTCGTGGTCATTGTTTAGACGTTTCTTCGGTCTACATTTGAGTTCCGTTCACTTTTCATTGTACCCAGAGCCAGCAGGGCCGCTTTTGCGTTCAGAAGAAGCTGCTGATGTCCACCGAACCCTGCTAACCGCTTTTTGACAGTTGGCTGCGGTCTTCATCGCTGTTTTTACAGCAGACTGGAGATAGCACCAAGCGTCTTCTTCATGAGTACTGTTGTTCTGTTCGGATAACTGCCTGGCCAGTTTCTCACTGAAAACGCCTTAGTACTCTTATTATCGAAATGAACTTGTAATTTTCTGTTGCTGAAGTGTGTGTGTACCGATCAGTATTATAGACTACTCAGTTGAATGTCACAATCCTTCCTTTCTATTGTATTGAGTAGTGTCTGGCAGCAGTCTCGGATTCACTTTTCTTCTATAATGGTGAATGCCTATTTAAAACCAGTTGGATATTGTATGCAGATAGCCTAATGAAAATAACCGACACTCAAAGTGATGGGTACTAATTTGGACAGTAATTAGGAACATCGACGCTACTGCGCTCAGAGTCTTTTCAACTGATAAGAGGCACATCATTGATTCTTCTACTGACTAGTAATAAATATTGTCAATGTATTTCACTGAAATTCAATGATGTTATCCAAATGTTTGAAGGTGACAGATTTTCACCAAACATTGTTTATTAATCTAAGCATTTCTAAATTGTCGTTTTTACGGCATTTTCATAGCATGGACAGCACTTCTTTTGTGCATCCATTTTCAAAACTAAGGAAAAAGCTGATGCTGTGCAGGTCTTGTGAACACACGTTTCGCAGAAATCTGAGTATGTTTAGCACATGTTTGGCACACTGGTGTGTGTCAATTATAAGATGATGTTGGATGACTGGTGTGGGACGACTGTCAGTTTAATGATAGGGAGTGAAGTGGTGGGTGGGATGTGTCGACCACTTCATTTACTTTGGTAAATGTATGTGGACGAAGTAGTTGGTTGGTGATGAAATGTCATCTGGTCTGTGTAAGTCTGGTTTGAGATTTGCGAACTAGTGTTATGTGTGCAGACATCTTGGGAGATATGTGACTGTGTATGGAAGGAGGAGTATAGTGCTGTGTATTCTGTTGTGTCCTGTTGTACGTCTGTGAGATATGGGTGTTGGAAGTAGAATGCATGAGGTGTTTACAAGTTTACAGTCACCAGTATGTTCTTGGTATTCATCGCGTTTGATAGAAGCAATGTTTGAGGGATGTTGAATGAGGTCAGGCGAAGAGTAGTAGGCAAGACGGAAGTTGGTTGATGAAGTTGTGAACCATAGGCAGTAGAGCGAAACTCTAGGTGACTGAATTAATTTAAGACCTGGTCAGAGGGTGGGGATCATGGCTCAGTTGCTGGAGCACCAAGCCACTATTTGGATGCCACTGATTTATATCCGTCCATGAGGCATTTTTTTCATTTTATCATCAGTCATTACACCATATCAATAATACTGATCAGCCAAACCAACTTGTATAAGTAGGTGAAATATGATGGTGAATTAAGATGTAGTAGTATATACTGTCAATCAAATATAAGCAGTTTACGGGAGGTTAATATAATGATATCATTCCATATTATAATATATGTTTAAAATATAGTCGTATACTACAGAAACTATTTGAATTAACGCTATACATTTCGAACAATCTGATTACACATTTACTTGTTAAGGCATTATATGTGAAAACTGGAAGTGCGCTTAATGTCGGCTTAATGTAAGGATAAACTGTTTTTGCACACACAATGGGGGTTAAATTTATTTATGGTGATCGCCTCAACAAACTTAAGTATACCCCCTGACAGTTTCAATACAAAATTGTAAAGGCTGTTTTAATACCAATCTTCAAATCTTATCTTTTTCCCCCGCTCATTATCTCTCTTATTATTCAATTCCTTTATGTTATATTTGTCCTTCTCCCACTTCCAGTTTTCATATATTGGAATTAAGTCAGAAATAATAGAAATAGGGCACATTATTAGTCATACAGTGGAGTGTCATACTGAGAGTAAAATTAATAATCAATCGTAAAAGTACTACAGGAAGAGTACTTGATGTTAGTCTGTGCAGAGGTTTGACAATAGTAGGAACAACGAAAAGAAAGCATTTTAAAGTACTGTTAAGACAATGATGAAAAAAGAACATCAAGGTTAAAAACTATACATTAGGATGGAAGAGACGATAAATATAGGAATAAGTTGAATAGTATTAAGTATACAGATGGTCAGAGAAAGGATAACACAATGCCATTTTGTGGATACGTAGATCTTAATGTAACAACTCCACCATTTAGATACAACGTAAGAAGGTTACCTGTAGTACTGTTTTTTTTTAAAACACTGCAAATCATTCTCAAAACAACACGGAGACCTGTGAGACGTCCCGCATTTACCAGAAGTACTAGTATAGAATTTCTCTCAACTTCACATCACTTTCCTAAGATAGTCATATGCTTCACTAAAATCAGGTTTCCCAATTTAATTTTTTCAATCTAATTAGCATCGAATAAGGGCCATATACATTCGACTGAACTTGTGCAGTGCTGGAGTTTAAAATGCTTTGGAAAATAAAACTGAAGATTCATGAAAGCAGAAAACGAATGCTTAAATTAAGACCGAATGTCAAAAAGCAACAGAGAATTTTTAAAAATAAAAACAATGTAACTGCACCATGAGAACAAGTTTAAAATGATTTAGGGCTTGCAGGAAACTGTTTTTCAAGGTAGAATTCATCGCAGATTGACATTATTAGGAGAACTAGTGAAGATATGGAAGCATTTGACAGCTGTCATGTTTTAGCATGGCAATCCTTAGCTGTACGCGAACACAAGACCATGGTAAAACAGCGATCGAGAGCTCCAAGTTTTCAACATCTCTATGCATGATATCACACCGTGATGCATACCACCATGAAACGCAAAAATCCCAGAAACCTTTAGAAAATGATGCGTAACCGCTTGTTCACTATAATCACACTGACTACCCAGCCAAAAACTGTTCATCAAATTAAGATTGTCGAATAGTTTATACTCCATACCGTATATTATTGCTGATACTTAGATTTACTATGTTGATTATGCGAAATTTCAGAGTCAAAAGGAAGAAATAGCTTGTTTACGAAATGAACTAAATGAATTGATACGAGAGGAGCAATGCTACAAGATAAAATTACCAAGAATCAGCGTCGTTTGGAACAGGTTGAAAAGGAAAATCGTCTGGCACAATCACGTGTAGATCAGGTAAGCAGTGTTTACCTCTACGATCTCTAAAATTCAAATGCAGTACAAAAGTTTTAAAAAAAACACTAGTGTAAAACACAACGACCTAAAGTCTGTAAGCTTCATGATAAAAGTTAACACTGTTGTTCATGAACTCAGATGTCTCACGTTATGTACGTCTGTCACGAATCCTAATCGTTCACAATCTACTGAAATTTGGAGCAACCGAGCAGTAACACAGCCTATGCAACCACATGTATATGGTTTCCATGTTTCATTTTTTAAAGCATGTACTTATGCACTCAGCAACCTTGTGGACATTCTTGCAGTAGACAACGGGTCACACCTATTGTGTGACAGCTGTTGAAACTACCTGACTGCCCAAACCTTGGTAGGTGGGGCTCGGACCCGTGACCCATTGCCTGAAAATCATTTCTTTAAAGTAATGAGCCACAAAACCGTTAAGGATATACCAATTTAGCAATGTCTTACCTAAATAGTGAACTAAGGCTGACTGGATTTATTTTGGAGCTAGTCAGTAACTTAGTAGCTCGTTTATTAAAATCATCTACTATAGAATTGACTTTCAAGTATAACTTTTTTCTGAACGTAGAATTTTTTCGGTACTAAAAGCAGCGTGTTATTCTTCAGAGTTCTACATTATTTAGAAGGAAGTTTTTGTGTACCTTCAATGTACCTTTGGCTATTACCATACATGCCCTTTCACTTGTGTAATGCCTTTGCCTAGATGAGCAGTGAATTGAAAGCAGGAAAATTTCATTAAAAACGACTTGATTATTTCTATTTAACATGTTTCTTTTTTTCAAATGATTTAAAATTGCACTTTCCACGTTGACATTTCTTACAGCTGAGTGGTTTTTCAACTGATCATTTGTGTATTGTCTACAGAGTTATCGTTGGAGATCACAAAATGTGATCTCTGACACAAGTGTCATATTGATAAGCCCGCCCATAAACGAGCGAAATGACCATCCAGTGTTTAGGTCACTGTGATCTGGCTGGTGAAATCTACAGATCATCCTGAATTGTTTTTAGCTACTCAAGTTGTTCATTTGTATAATTCGATGTTTCTTTTTTGCATCCCAGTAATGAAATTACTTGCATCTCCATTTTGTATGAACTATGACTTCTTCAAATTATTAACGTAAATTCACTTAATTTGGTTGGTGTGTTTTGCTCAACTGTATGTGTTCCAATTGTAGGCTAACAGTAAGCTTGGGACTTTAGAATCCACTCGTGGTCAGCTACTTGAGGTTCTAGATCAGTACAATAGTCTGTTGAACGGTGATGAGAATGTCAAAGAACCAGATGAAGCAAGAGTCAAATCTTTGGTTAGTCCATTAATTTTTCTCCATGTTTTGGTCATTCTGTAGGCCGTCTTAGCATAGATTACAATACTGGCATCTCCTGTGTATTACTATATAATACTGAAGCTGAGTTTTTAGACTTTTTTCCTGATCGTACCAAGTGAAGTTTTCAGTAACGACTCATATTGCCCTACACATTATTGCTCTTCACATTCCTAGTTCTTAATTAGTATTGGTTACTTTTTAAACTACGGAATTCGCTTTGCTAAGCGGATATTAATAGTGCTTTAGTATACCAGCACTTATTAGCTTAATTTTCCCCTTTAACTGAAACTTAGTTGTTGCCGCATGCATCCACGTTCCGTGTTTAATTAAAAATTGATGACTAACAAATATTTCCGCAGCTGCATTGGCGGATGTGCTCGTTGGTATAATCTTTTCTATCTGTTTTTGACTGCCTTATAACATCTAACCTTAAGTTATTTTCATTACGGTTTACAGTTAGCATGCTGTCGTGGTTGTAATAATTAAATTGATTCTTATGATGAATAGTGTGGTACCGTTTCAAATCCTAGTGGATAAGTGCTTGTACGGTGTCTGACTGATTATTTGGTTACGACTTCATATGAACTGTTGAATTTGATAATATCTTTTTATTTACTGCTTAGTTGCTAACGTAAGTTAGACGATTCAAAGTGAGTGGCTAACTCAAAACTTTCTTGCTCCTTATTTCTATTTTGATTCTCTCAGTCAAGTGGTTTTGTAGGAGTTTCCTTTTGTTTGAAGAGACTGGTGAACAGTTAACTCATAGAGTTGATCGTTCTTTACTAAAATGGTTATGGCTTTTGAGTTATTTGAATTTTTTAAGCTCTGTTATTTAAGTTGTTAGACCATCAGTCTTGGCGCTCCTACATCTGTTAATGTTTGGCCAGTCAACTAGTATCCTCATTTGTTATAAAATCATCTCTCTTCATTTCACGCGTCCATCCTGAGCATGATTACTAACTATCAGTGTCACATTTGAGTTAACAACAATAATCTGTTTTCGTTAAGACAGTTCAGTGTCACCTCTTTCGTTCTGTTTTCATCACATATGTACAACCATAGGTAAATTTTTCTGTGTCCAACACCATACTCATATTGAACTTATACTCGATAGTATCATAATAGTTTTGACGAACTGTATCTTTGTGTAAATAAAGTATGGAAAACAATCGGAGAATGTTTGTCATTTTTTCTGCGCTTGTTCAATCACAGCCTAGCAATACTGGGACGATAAAACAGGTAGTAGTAATAATTACCCTAATATTTCGAAGGTTAATGTGTACAACTTCATGATTTAACTGTTAGCTGCATTTCAGCTCGTGAGTGACACGGTGGGCAAGGTCACCTGAAAAACTTCTTGATACAGACAGGTTTCTGCAGAGCAGATTTTGAGATTCATGCTTTCTATAAGTCTCGCTTTTAGGATATGGTTATCAGGTGCTCCAATAGTTCTTATGAAACATGCTGGATTTAGTGACACGAAATTTATAGGGTTTGGATATGTTGACCATCTTACCTGGCCAGGAATTACAGCTTTCCTGTGACAACCATGGGGGTAATTAGCTTGACTAATATCGTGTCTGAGATCCTAGGGTCCATAGCCAAATGACGCCTACCTGGAGCTCAAGATCAGCAACCTCTAGATAATCAGGTAGGTTTCAGACGTGGACAAAGGTGCGTTGATCATACTTTCATGGTACGACAGGTTCTGGAACACAGACATGCCTACCGACCAACGACCGACGATATTCAACTCTGTCGACCATGAGGTGTTGTGGCAGTGTCTAACAATGAAAGTATATAATGCTAATCAAAGCTGTCTACTCGAACTCACGTAGCCATGTCAGCAGGGGTTGTGGATAGTTGTCATGTGAACTGATGACGACTAGTGGTGTTCGGCAGGGATTTGACTGTCAGCATTCCTACTTAACTTCGTCATGACGTACGTGCCAGTTCAGATAACCTTGAATATGTGTGACTTAGGTATTGATCCACTCCTCTACCTGTAGGTCACCTGATTGATTTGGAGTATGCAGACGATATTGTCCTAATGGGTGAGGGAAGACGGTGACGCTGTGTAGGGTCTTGTGAACACACGTTTCGCAGAAATCTGAGTATGTTTAGCACACGTTTGGCACACTGGTGTGTGTGAATTGTAAGATGATGTTGGATGACTGGTGTGGGACGACTGTCAGTTTAATGATAGGGAGTGAAGTGGTGGGTGGGATGTGTCGACCACTTCATTTACTTTGGTAAATGTATGTGGACGAAGTAGTTGGTTGGTGATGAAATGTCATCTGGTCTGTGTAAGTCTGGTTTGAGATTTGCGAACTAGTGTTATGTGTGCAGACATCTTGGGAGATATGTGACTGTGTATGGAAGGAGGAGTATAGTGCTGTGTATTCTGTTGTGTCCTGTTGTACGTCTGTGAGACATGGGTGTTTAAAGTATAAGACATTAAGTGGTGATGTATACTGTCACGTTGAGATCTGTAGTACGGTATAAATCAGTTTGAGGACTGTCGTTGACGTGATTGGAAATCGGTATAATTGGTGCAGATATATTGTCTTTTATTTCCTGTAAAGTTTGAATATTTACACAAGCCTTCATCTTCAAATTGTTTATTCTCTACTGCGACACATCTTTGTCTACTTTGATATTATTTGTTTTCTATCCATGTCTTTTTTTGCACGTTACTGTGAAGTGTGGGAAGTTGCGGCGATGCACTTGTGTGCGAGGTTTCACGTCGATGCTTCCTGTCTGTCCAGATATTCAGATTTATTCATTCGTCTATTTTTGTTTGCTTCCCAACTTTTTATTATTACTATCGTAACTAACGCTTTTCGCCTATATTTTCTCTCTCTTTCGTATGATGATGTTTATTGTTGTCATTTAGATCGTTGTACTAACGTGTTCTTGCACCACTATATCATTTTTGAGTCTTTCGTAACTTTAAGGTAGACCAGTTTTGTGCTGTTTCAATAATGTTTTATTTACCTCGTAGTTTACTTTAAAAATATGTTGCTTATGGTAGTTTATGGAAGACTCATCTGGTATGTGTATCAAATACTTTCTAACTATGGTAGTTATATTTTAACCAGTTTTGCAACAATGGTAAGCAATTTTGTTCCTCAAAATTATTTTCATTCATACAATAGAAACTCTTGAAATGTCATATTTATTCGATGTTTTATGATATTCAGCTTTCAGATGAAAGTCCAGAAGGCAGTTTAAAGAGTGTCGATACGGGTTTAGGTGGAATTAATTGGCCAAATAATAATGGACCTACTGAGAACGATCAGTCAATTTATCAGCATTTGACACATCACGAGTTAATACTGGTGCTCAGTCTGTACCACTTCCCTTAATGTTAACCAATCCTTTACCTGGTATTGATTGGAAAGCAACTGAAAGAGGCCATTTGAACTCTTCTCTTGGATTCCCATTCCCTACGATCCTTTTGATGGCAATGATCCTTTCAAAGTACCTTCTAAAGTTAATGAATTGAATAAAGGTGGGTTTACTTTATGCATCCCTGTAATTCCTGCTTAGTCTTACTAAATATCCCATCGAAATAAGGGAGAGAAATTTCTCTGTCGTTCAAGAATGAATCTAGGCATACCTTTATGTCGATTCACTTCAGTAACTTTACCTTGGAAAAGTCATGTGAATCGTAAATTTAGAAAAGAGTCTTTTTTCAGGAATTCCGTTTTCAAAGCTGTACGATCGCAAATTTATACATTTTTCTTGTATAAGGACTTGATAGTTAAAAATGGTTTGTTAAGCATGGGAACACAAATTATGTCAATTTATGAGCTGTCATTACGATCAAAAAGTCATAAAACTGTGATGAGTAGTGAATATCAATCAAGATAAGTTTGGACAAGAAGCTTTGTGAGATTACGATGTAATTGGAAGCTGAATTGTGACCAGAAAGAGCATAGCAACCAGAAAGATTAGGAAACTACTTAGGAAGTGAATAGTGTCAAAACAGAAAAAAAGTGTGTATGTGTGTGTGTGTGGGGGGGGAAAGGTGATTTCAAAGACTGAAAACTAAGGCCATGAAAGGAGAAGGTGTTGAAACAATCTTCTTTTGCGTGCACAGTTCAGGTTTCTCCATATGGATGGCACGATCTTCTGCAATGCAGAGAACACAGAGACATATAGCGTTTGGTAGGTTTCTTTTCACTTTATGGATGACTTTGAACGAGGAGGTTTTTGAGATAAGGTGGTTCGCGTTCACGATGTGTTCATTTACATCTTTGTTATCATGCTAGAACCCTTTGGGATGACAGTCTCATCGAACAACCTATATACCTGGCTTCACAAGAGCAAGTGAAATGATATATACACATAGATGTGGTCGGATCCAAAAGTTTTTTCTTTGAATTGTTAGAAATCGTTGGGTGGCAAGAGAATACCAGCCTCAATGTTGATACAATGCTGAGGTGGCTTTGTCATATACTTCACATGCCGAGCCACCGCATGCCTTGTCATGTCATGTTAGGAGAAGCTGGATTAGGTTGTAAGACAACTCATGGTGGCGAGACCAAGACGTAGCACCAGTCGATGAAGTCTATTACTGTTAGTCTGAACCGTGTGGAGAGATGTAGACTACTTGGCTGTGGTCCACGAGATGATAGGAATCAGTGCTTAAGACTTTTTGGTAACATGGCTGGAAGTCGGTAACAATGGTGCAGATGTATTCAGTCTTTGATGTCCTGTAAAGTTTGAATATTTACACAAGCCTTCATCTTCAAATTGTTTATTCTCTACTGCGACACATCTTTGTCTACTTTGATATTATTTGTTTTCTATCCATGTGTTTTTTTTGCATGCTACTGTGAAGTATGGGAAGTTGCGGCGATGCACTTGTGTGCAAGGTTCATCGTCGATTCTATCTGTCCATCACTGTTTTCCTTTAATTACGTGTTATATTTATTTATTTCAAGAATCTGCTGAGGATCCATTTGGTTTGCCGATCACGAATGACCCATTCAAAGACTCTGATCCATTTTGTCTAGATCCTTTCGGTCTACCTTTTTTGGTAAGTGCTTCTCTAACCTGTGCGATTTCGTCAGAATAACTAAACTTTAAATGAGTAGGTAAGTACTTACTATTCATCTGAATAGTTTTATATGTTGCTATCACTCTTAGATATTGGTAGTAGCTACACTTTGAAAATCATACAAGGAGTACCCGTTATAATGTGCATACGTATGGCTTACAGATTTTTTGAAATGTTGTTACTTGTATACACTGATCAAATGAATTTTCATACCTGCAGTTTCTACTATTGTCTCAAATAGAAACCAACATTAACACAATTTCTTGTCATCTAATAAGCGGATTTTGTTTTTGAGGAGGCTGTGTTTTCATAATAAACTTTCTCAGTAAGGATCCGTAGGACTATGTAGCTTTCTTTACCCTGGTTCAAGAGCTCTTCTTTACTTTTTTATTAGTGTATCGTCATCGTTAACCTTCTACTAAGCTAAAAGATTTCTGTTGCAAATAAACTGGCTAGGCCTTATATTGTGATTAGTTTGCGAACACAGAAGTGCAGTTCAACATTTTCTTTTATCTTAAGCTTCATGGATTTTCATGTATCTCTTTTCCAAATCTTCTTCTATCGTCATCATCATCATCTTTTATTCAGTCAAACCAAACGAAATCTGTGTGATGCTTCTTTACACCATATACACACTTTTATTCAGATCATGAAAAATAGTTGCACTGTGGTGTTACATTTATTAATATCATAGTTACTATCGCATGTATACTTAAATAATTACCCAAGAAAACTTCTGCTATGAGCTCTCATGGAAAATTAGTGGATACGTAGTAAAAATAATTAAGCACATTCATTATTTACTCATAAGACATTCTTTTTGAATTCCACTGGTTTCAATTGGATATTCTATAAGTGCACACCGTTTTAGTGGTCATTTAGGTTCGATCAAGTATGTATGAAAACTGTAGTCACGTTTTTGAGTTACCTACATGATTTTCACTCCTGAAACAATGTGTTGTTAAAAGGCAGCTAGATTAAAGTGTAAATGGGTTGTATTGGAAAGTTATTTTGATTGGTTGCTTTACACAGCAGTTTTGCCTTCATACATTTTTTTAATGTTTTATGTCTGTGCATAACTTTAAAAATGTATTCGGACTGTTGTTTAAGGTTCTTCTCATTCGATACCTATAATGATATATTTTTAGACGATGTAAGCAGCCAAGCGAAAAGTTTGACTTCTAGAGTCTTGTCGGGAACTTGTGTATGACATGACTGTACAAGGTTTTCTCCGATTTAAGCTAATGAAGTGGTTTATTAGCCTATTTATGCGTTTTAATTCCACTGACTACTCTGAAATAGGTTTTACATTAGAGAAACAGCTATACGGTTTACACTTACTTTGCTCACAAATCTCAACTTTTAACGAGAAATTTCCGAATGTTCGCAGTATTTTTGTCGTCAACATTTGTTATTATCTTTCGTTTTCAACGACTAGAACAGTGTTTAGTAAATTTCTGCATGTTAGGCCTTGTTAATCACTTTTATTTTTTAGATCAATGTCTACGAATTAGTATAGGAGTAAGACTTGTTCACTGGCAGATTGTAATTCCACTTTAGTCTGTTTATTAGAAATTTCACACAGTGAAACAGTGTCATTTACTACTAGACAGCATTTGAGACATAATTCATTGTCCATATTCATATCATATCACCTTATATGAATATGGACAATAAATTATGTCTCTAAACGTTATCCAATAAATAATACTATATGACTGTGTGACATTTCTAATAAACAGAATAAAATGGAGTTTACGAATTAGGTTGAATAGATTTTGTCACTTATTTAACTATAACAAGTGGACTTTCGAGCCATTCATTAGTGTAACTTTCCAGAGGTGAACTTAATTGACACGAAAAGGATTCAGATTTTATTGATCATGAGTTATTCTTGGTCCAGCATTGTCAAGTATTTATTTCATAGTAAGAATGTAAAATAATATCAGCAGTATTACTTTGAGTTTCTCTGAACACTGATTCGTACGTTAGATCCGGTCCACTGACTCTTCTATTTGAGACTGAAATTACTTTGGTTATATTGCAACTAACTGCTGGTAGCTTAGATATCCATTAGAATTTCACTTCTTCTGAAGCATGTGTTTTGATTTTTATAATGTTTTATTGCATGCAAAATTCATCTAAGAGTAGCATGTAGAACACGTGTGGAAATAACTGAAACACATTGAATTTCAGTCAGATGGGTGATCCATTGCTCACTTGTATGCTTCTTGTTAGATGCTTGAACTTTCTCATTAGTGTTACAATGTAGTAGTGTTCTAGAGAACCTTATTCGTAAATTGGAAGGCGTGCGTTTCAGAGGCTTATCACATGAAGGGATAACGAAAAGCGTGTTTCAGTTTCTTCAAATCAATATTACACATGACATTTGAAGACAGTTTTGCTGCTGATGTGGATATATTACTTCTAGAAAGATTTTATAATCTTTAGCATGCAGATGTTATGCTCTCAACAAGCAATAGCATTCGGGTTACTCGAGCCACACTTATTTAATTATTTATAGTTTCTGATGTGTTCTGTTATAGTACTCAAGTAGAAATTTGCTTTAAACAATTAATTTGAGTCTGCACCTATATTCACTGTTATGAATAATTTTAAAAGAACCTGTAAGCTTTCATGAACCTGGTCATCTATGTGTCGATGAGGATTTGGAAGATTAGATGACCCTGTAAAAGTCTGAGCGATATCAATCTGCATCACTTTTGTCACCATCACTTGAGTGGTGCAACATGATCTTCAATCAAACTGTAAATATCAACAAAACATTGGTATTAAATGCATCTTCTTGCTTGAAAGTAATCGTTTGAAATAACTATACAAATATTTATGCAAACAGATTTACCAAGTTGTATATAACTAATAACCTTCAGCTGTGTTGGCTATTGAAGGATCTAAATAATATATATTCCCATTCAGTATTAATCACTGATAGTTTTCGTTCACTTTGAGGGATTTATTGTATACCATCTTGATAATTTTAATATTCAGAGTTTAATAGTGTTGCCATGAGACTTTCGTTTTCTGCATTTTATTTTCAGATGGACAAAACCAAAAAGTCTACAAGTGTTGGTAAGTTGATCATATTTTGCAAATGAAAAAGTTTGAATTAGCTTTCCTCTTGTTCATATTCATTGCCTTAGTTACCAATTTCAAATATTAAATTTATGTTACGAATATGGTAAGGAGACGTAGAAGTAGTAGATCGCTCTCATATTTTCTACAGAAAAGTCCTCTCTAGCGTTAGAACGACCAAACCTCAAAACAACATCCCGCTAAAGGCCTCGCGTGGCAGGCCTCAAACAGATGGCCCGTGGGCTCCCCGGTCACACGAATCTTTTTCTATTCAGGTAACTTAAAAAGAAATAAGTTTCACTGGAAGTGTCAGCCGCCCGCATGTTTCTAGTATCACAAAACACCAAATCAATCATAACTTGTCCTCCTCAACTCTGTCTCCTCCTTTACTTTCACCTCCTGATACTAATATTTAAGCCTCATACACCCTACCAAACCTCTCTCTGCAGTGATCGAAGCCGTCGAAACGTCATTCCCAGTCTTTTAAGATCCTGCCATCGATTTCGTGTAGGAGCTTTTAACGTCCGAACTCCATGCCAAACCGGAGGGCAAGCATCGCTTGATCCCGAAACCTACCTATTCGTAATTTCCTCCTACGTACCCACCGACTGCAGCTGGGATGATGCAAAGGATGACTTCCGTGAAAAGTTGTCAACTTTTCTACAGAAAGTAAAACGTTTAGATGTCGTCGAAATGGCAGGTGACTTTAAGCCTCAACTAGGTAAGGTGAGCCAATCGGAGACTCATCTTACAGGTACTTACGGAATTTCACGCCAAGGAACCGACATTGGTGATCGTGTGTTTCAATTTTGTTCTGACAATCACTGGTTTCTCGCCAGAACTAACTTTATGCTTAACGAGAAACACTTTCTCACATGGCGTCCTCCGACATCAAATCAGCGATGGGCACAGATAGATAATGTTTCTAGAACTCATCGGTTGAGGATTGTTACACTTTCTGGAGTTTTAGTTTGTACTCCGACCACGCATTGGTACGCGTTCGTGTATGTCCGCGTCTTACTGACCTGAGGGAGCGGTAGGCAGTGAGGCCTGTCTCTGATCGATTCTTGGGTGAGGACTCTAAGTATGCATTTAGAGAGGACTTCGCTAAGCATTTATCTGGATGAGACAGGAATGCTGATACTGAGAAAACTTGGCGTGATAATAAATCTCCTGTAGTAACAGCTGTAAAGAAAGTTTGTACCCGACAACCGAAGGTTAGCAAACCTCATTAGATTTTCCTAACGTCACTCTAACTGGTTGATGTAGAAAGACTGATTCTAGCTGGCTGTGAACACGATGAACAGCAGAAGCAGCTCGAACGTAAGTTGACCAGGAGTCTATGCGTCGATCGCGAGCAGTGATGCATGGCAAGAGCAAGAAAGATGGAGAAGGCATCAGCTTTGGGTAACACTCGTCAACTGTTTAAGCTTATTAAGGATGTTGGCAACAAGAAGACGATGGTTAGCGAAACCATCACCGAAAGGATGGGACGCTGATAACCTCCCAGCGCAGTCTGCTAAAGCGTCGCGCGGAACACTTTGAAGCACAATTCAACTGGCTCATAACACTTCAGTTGCCCAACATCCAGTGTGAACCTGAATGGGATGTAGATGTCGGTCTTCCAACTCTCCTTGAAATTGCAAAGGCTGAAACGATACAAAGCAGCAAGGCTTGATGGTTTACCACCCAAATTTTTCGAGGACGGAGGTAGGAAACTGTTGATCAAAGTGACAGATGTACTGCGTAGTACATGCGAATCAGAGTTTGACTAGTGTACCTCACTTATCATCCCAGTCTTTAAGAAAGGAGAGAAATGTTTTTTTGACAACTATGGGTAATTAGCTTGACTAATATCGTGTCTGAGATCCTAGGGTCCATAGCCAAATGACGCCTACCTGGAGCTCAAGAACAGTAACCTCTAGATAATCAGGTAGGTTTCAGACGTGGACAAAGGTGCGTTGATCATACTTTCATGGTACGACAGGTTCTGGAACACAGACATGCCTACCGACTAACGACCGACGATATTCAACTCTGTCGACCATGAGGTGTTGTGGCAGTGTCTAACAATGAAAGTATATAATGCTAATCAAAGCTGTCTACTCGAACTCACGTAGCCATGTCAGCAGGGGTTGTGGATAGTTGTCATGTGAACTGATGACGACTAGTGGTGTTCGGCAGGGATTTTGACTGTCAGCATTCCTACTTAACTTCGTCATGACGTACGTGCCAGTTCAGATAACCTTGAATATGTGTGACTTAGGTATTGATCCACTCCTTTACCTGTAGGTCACCTGATTGATTTGGAGTATGCAGACGATATTGTCCTAATGGGTGAGGGAAGACGGTGACGCTGTGTAGGGTCTTGTGAACACACGTTTCGCAGAAATCTGAGTATGTTTAGCACACGTTTGGCACACTGGTGTGTGTGAATTGTAAGATGATGTTGGATGACTGGTGTGGGACGACTGTCAGTTTAATGATAGGGAGTGAAGTGGTGGGTGGGATGTGTCGACCACTTCATTTACTTTGGTAAATGTATGTGGACGAAGTAGTTGGTTGGTGATGAAATGTCATCTGGTCTGTGTAAGTCTGGTTTGAGATTTGCGAACTAGTGTTATGTGTGCAGACATCTTTGGAGATATGTGACTGTGTATGGAAGGAGGAGTATAGTGCTGTGTATTCTGTTGTGTCCTGTTGTACGTCTGTGAGATATGGGTGTTGGAAGTAGAATGTATGAGGTGTTTACAAGTTTACAGTCACCAGTATGTTCTTGGTATTCATCGCATTTGATAGAAGCAATGTTTGAGGGATGTTGAATGAGGTCAGGCGAAGAGTAGTAGGCAAGACAGGGAAGTTGGTTGATGAGGTTGTGAACCTTAGACTACTGAGATAGCTTGGATATGTATGGTACATACCGAGGTAACTCCTACCTGTACATTGCATGCTGTAGGTAATTGGATTAGATTGGAAGGAGGTTCAAGGTGTCTGCACCAAGACGTTGCCTCATTTGGTGAAGTCCGTGAATGTTGATCTGAGTCGTGTCGAGAGATGTTGACTCCTTGGTTGGGGTCTATGAAGTTATATGAATCTTCCTGACATGTCTGAAAATCGGTCAAAGTGGTGCAGATGTACTCACCCTTTGACATCTTAATCTTGAGTATTTACCTTAACCGTTATTTTTAAATTGTTTATTCTCCCACAGAATTTCGTCTAATTTAGTGTCACTTTTTTTTAATCCTGGTGTTTTTTGTATACTACTTTGAAATGTAGTAACTTGAGCCGACTTGCCTGTGGCAGGTGCTTTGTTGATTTTGTCAGTCAATTACTCGCGTTTTATAATTCCATGGACGTATAAAGGAAGTCTTCGATTTATTGAAGATATATCGTTTCAGTTATTGGAAGTGTATCAGAGTGACCGGTTTTTTCCCCGCCTTTCTCAACTTCCATCGTAGTTGTCAATTAAAAGGATATAGATGTTTTTGTGTTACAAACTGTCGCAAAACAATTCTATGTATAAGGCACGTCTGAATAAATTACACGTTGTTTACAAGAGATATAGTAAATCTCATGAACTCATTTCCATTCCACTGACATCAGTCAAAGTATGTTGCGATGGTGAACCTCCTTGCTTGGTGGTCACATTGAAAAATGATTGATAGGATCCGATGAGCTGCACTAAAAGACAACATGAAATAGACTTCTGTCTAGTGAACTATCAATATACAGTCTCGATAGTTTTAGGGATTGTTATGAAGTTGCCATGGATAAACTTTGTTGTCTAGATCCCAACTCAAAACTAGAGTTTACTACATAGTTTCATCTTACAGTCTAATTTCGGACACCCTACTAATGTACATCAGCATTACTGAAATCAAGAGTTAGGTCCCAGTGGGAGTGTTACAGTTGACCTACTTAGTCAAAATGACTTTATTAACTTTGAATAGTCCCAAATGTCATTCAGATGCTTTACTGCATGTAGGCGAACTACATTTTTAGCTATTCGATTCGCAAGATTAACGAACTGCAGACCTTCTTTTCATTCTGATTAGGACTCTACAAAGGCATGTCTCTTTATTTCAGAGAGTGTAACCGTTTGCACTACATGAAACTGATAATTGAAGTGATTACCGATAATAATAACTAGTAAATATATCTTTTTAAATATTTATTTAAATTTCACATTGACAACTTTTCTTTCTGTGGAATTTAGCTTCTGCGTTTGATCCCTTTAAACCGGATACAATATGTTCCACAACGTTGCCAGAAAATTCCCTAGTTGGAGCAGATTTTGATGCTGTACGTAAAGTTCTTTGTTGTTGCTTACAATGTAACGAAATTCAAATATTATCTTGCTAAGTTTTATTTGTAGGTGTTTTTTCTGCTAAATTTGATGATCACAGAGAAATGTAACTAGTATGTTTCCAAATATATCTGATGAGTGAAAATTATCTAAATATTTTTATCAATTAGTGTGTGAATACTATTCACTTATTTTGACTTAAGCATTTTAGTGGTATACTGTTTTTCTGTGACCCAATGAAGTTATTTGTTGTTATCTATGGGACATTTACTCATTTCAACATCAAATTCTACTCAGTTTACTTCCTAATAACCGTGATATTTTGGTGACATAGAATGTGAAATACCCTTTATGCATGATGTTTTTATATGAGTGGATAGTGCAAATAACTTTTAAGCATGTATTACGAGTACTTCTATTAGTTAATTCGTATTTATTTCGGTTTCTTCAACTGGTTTATTGACTTTTTACGCATGAATAACATCTAGGTTTTTGGACCTTCCAGTGGTGGCATATCGAACATTACTGACCCATTCGGCAGTGATCCTTTTGCTCCTCCTACCACCTCTTTTATGGCCAATACAGATACGATCAGTAGTAATAGAGAAATGAAGAACCAAATGCATTCAGGACGAAAATCTCCACCACCTCGACCCAAAACTCAACCGATTCCTGGTAAATCTCGACCCTTCAAGGTAGGTGCTGTAGAATATATATATATATATATATATATATAAGTATAGTATGGTGTGGTATGGTATAGTGTATATAGTACTAAAACTCCTAAATTTGCATACAACTGAAACGGAACAGGCATACCTGTTGCTACGTTCCTTTTTAAAAAGGCTTTAATTATATTGAAATTGAACTTCTATATATTATGCACTTGGAATTGTTACCGAAACATTCTGTTGGCTGCAGTTGCAGAAATTCAAAGATGTGTAGGTTAACATGATAGTATTTTAATTGCTCTTATACAATGCAATCTCTTATTCTGATAGTTTATAATTTGAAATACATCTCTACTGAAAATTGAATTGTGAAATTTATCAGGGTGTAGAATGTACACAAAGGAACGCTGTACCAAAAGTTGTCATATTGAATGTTTTGTTAGTAAAGTAGGAATTTCAAACTGCGTAAAACGTGTAACTATAAATACACAGTCATGTATTTTTTTTTTGTGATCAAGAGTAAACTCTTATCTGTGGTTTGTAGCGAATTTCTGTTACTGTTACTTACTGCCCAAATCTAGATGTAATATGTAATCTATTTATAATGTGTACGTTTTAGCTTTAGCTCTCTCTCTTGTATGTTTAATAAAAATTAGAACTTATGAATTATAGGAAAGTGGCCCTAAACAAGTATCTATTGTATTATACTTTTTTTTTGGATTTCCCACGGTTAGAAGTGGCATAACAAACCTGGATGTAGTAGATAGATTGATCATTTATCAATGATAAGCAATTATTTTTGATCTTCGTCGATTTATTGAATGTACGCTTGAAATTGTTTCCTATTACATGAGTTACTTTTTGTTTATTTTCCCTTCTGTCTTTCATAGTCAATGGATGTCACATCTAGTTTTTCAGGTATCCGTTCTGCTGATTCTGAAGGTGATTTTACAGATTTAAGCAATTCATCAACAAGCAACTCAATGAGATATCGTAAACGCTTATGCGGTAATTCTATTCAAAAATCAGCATTTGGACTGAAACCAAAACATTCCAGCAAGTCGAAAAAAGACTCACAAAATTCCCCTTCAACATCACCATCAGTTAATACAAAAAATAGTTCTAAATCAAGTGATATAGTGCTATCAGATGAAGCTCGATTATCATGGGCCATAATGGAAAGTCAACGTCTCGCTCAAATTGAAGAAGAAGCTCGTAGACAAGAAGAAGCTGATCTAGAACTTGCACTTCGATTGAGTAAACTAGATTCATCAGGTCGACATTAAAGCGGTGATCCTATCTTTGTCATTTTTAAATAGTTAAATCGGAGGAGGACAAGAGAGAAGCAAAGTTACCATCAGCTACCAGTTCGTTTTATTTTCCTAATCATCTAAGTTCCGATCTCTTATACAATGATGCACCGATCTTTTATTAATTGTTGCTTTTGTTTATTTAGTTTGTGCATTGGTTGCGTTTGTCATTCTTCTTTATGAACTTCAGTATTTGTTTGTCTTTTCATTGTTAACAGTGTTTTCTAAGAGGGTCTAACCTTGTCGCATATAGTTGTCGCGAAACACGTACTTTGATATGCAAATGATTTGATTTGTGCCAGTAATATTTTCTGTATGGTTTAGCATAATCTGGTCTGTTGTGATGAAAATGAATCCAGTTTATACACACATATGATGTGTATTTCTATGCTTTGATCTCTTTTCTACCATGTTTTGTTGTTTACTTCCTTCCTTATTGTTCATTGATTTCAATTATATCTTATCTATACAAAGTAATGTATTTGTTTCATGAATTAATTTTACCTTGGTTCATTGTTGTCGTACACTTCTTCTTTTTAACCGGTTAGTCTGTGAAAAAATAAATAAAATGTAATGCGTGGCAATTGATTTCAGAATGAAATTCATCATCTTGCGTATTGTTCTATGAACAGCGTAAATTTTTATCACATCTTAAAACAAGTTGTGGGCACATATTTTATCATAACTGCATAATGATGATATATTTCGATGAAGTGCATGAATTCTACGCCAGTTTTTTATTAGCATAGTCTAATGTAAGTGATGTTATCAATCTACCGATATGTAGACCCTCTGTTGTGTTAAAGCAGTTAGTTTCAATCATCTTTAAATTTGACTTCAGTTTTTACTGGGTGCCGTTCAGATTGTGAATTTACGTCGATCGACTGACCTTTGTCAAGATTTAAATGAATATTTCATTCACGTTGTCACATGTTTAGTTTAGAATTGTTTTTTTTTGTGGTTAGTTTCTATGTTAGATGTGTTATTTTTTTTCAAAAAACTGAATAATGTTTTAAACATAAATAGATATACTTATTACTTACTGGTCACGTAGACTTCAAAAATAGGATCGAGGAATATAGAAACCGGGAACAAATACACTGCTTTTTACTGAATAACTTATCTGTGCTGTAAAATAAGAAAGATCAGGCTAGGGATTTTCCCTTTAAATCTGAAGCTAAATAAATGATAGCTTTCTTTACACTTGAATAAGTCTATCTGCAGGCTTTTCATTATGAAAATTTCATCCTACTTGATATTTGGAGTTCAGATTTAAATAAATATAGCTTATATGCGCAGACCGATTTCTAATGAACACATGTGAAATGTTCACACTTTAAGTCGAATTGAATTAAAATGCACTCAACAACCACGTGCACTTTCGTACAGTGGTTAGCGAGTTGCATTTATTGTATGAGGGCTAATTTTATTACCTGGTCACCCAAATAACGGTAGGTGACGTAGGGTTTGAATTGGTGACCCTTCGACTGGAAATTGAATGCTTATACTGATAACCTGCGGCTCTACACTTGGATATGTTACTTGTATCATGTCTTTACTATTCCAGGCGTAAGTCTTTACAAATCTACATTCCCGTTTCAAAAACACCTTAGTAAGTGCAAGGTAGTTGTTTCTGCTAATGTCTTGAGATATCCAACTAGTTTGCAAATGAATCTTTTTCTGTATACGATAAAATGGCGTTATGTGTTGTGATTGCTCTGTTATTAGTAAGAAAATCTAAAGTTATTTATTTTCATTTATCTTTTAACTCAGAAATTTCATGTGTTGCAGACATTGTTCCTTCACCAGGGCCATACGAAAGTCCCTTTTTTTCTCCTTATATAATCCCGTAAACCGATATATCAGAATCTAATTCCGTTTCGAGAACGTTTGCAATAAATATTTGTATTATTTAGTGCTGTGTGTAGTGGAGTTAGGAGATTCTGATGTTCGGATTGAACATTTGATAAAAACATTAGATGTTGATCATATTTGTACCAATCTCATTGTGTTTTAAAATACAACTATTCAATAATTTGGTAAAAACTGCAGCGAAATAAGATAAGTTTTTTCTCATTAGCGATGGTATGGAAACTACAACTATCGGTATCAGTCTTCTGTCAATTTAGTCAGCCCCGTCTTTTATGCCAAGATTTACTTCTATATGAATATTAGTTCAGATCGGCATTCTTCACCATATAGGATTTCGAGGATTCAGTACAATACTTTTTTGATTCCAAAAGTAATTTGTTCTCAGTGTGTTACTTACTTATTGTGAATTCGTTTTATTGCTGTGTACTTTAGCTTAGCATCATTTGATGCTGTTTCTAAGAATTTTGAATCACTAAGACCGTAGACCTCTGGTTATCCCTCAGAAAAGCACAATTAGTATGAAATCGTTTTACTGGTTATAAAAACCATATGCATTGTTTTAAAGTATAGTTTTGAGTTTACTATCCACACAGATAGAATGCTTGGAATAATTTATGTCCGTAGATAGTCCTTCGAATACATCTGCATCACTGACATCGGTTTTGAGCCATATCACCTAGAATCTCCGACCACTGGCCCTTGTTGTCCCGCAGACTAGCCGGCTGGAGTCCCCGGGACAAGAGGAACCAGTAGTTGGAGACTCTAGGTGATATGGCTCAAAACCGATGTCAGTGGCACAGATGTATACACACATTATCCTCATCTTAACGTTGTGCCAAGTCTTACCATTTTCTCATTCTTCCTTTCTCTTTTAGTATTTTACCTTTCTTTTGACTGAATTTTCTTACCTTCAACTTGACTGCCGTTTTACTTGATGCACTGATATGAGGTGTGGCGACTCGAACTGTTACCCAATAATGCCGGGTCCTATGTTGATTGATGATGTCTCGGAAACCTGTTTGTAGGACATCAAAAGATTGTGATGACGTTTTGTTTATGTTTACTTTCAAACTATGTAGTGCTCACATTGTCTATTCCTGATGATTTCGGCCGCGTATTAAGCACATGTGAATGCGCAAACGAGATGCTTATAAAAACAGCTTTGATTAGTTTATTTTATAGTCAGTTCACAAAATTGCTTTCCTAATTTTGTATTATATATATATATATATATATATATATATATATATATATACGCACTACTGGGATTATTTTCGTGTATGTAATCTTTCTAAACGTACTAAAATGTTAAGGTTTTTAAAAAATGTTTTCAGTCGAATAAATTAGTGAACATAAAAGAACAGTTACAATTCGAATCCACTTTTGTTTTATTACTGGACTGATGAACAAAGTGATTAATTTAGAATATGAATGAATCAAATGTTTTAATCGACCACCCACCTTTAAGGGACAAAGATTACTACACTGTTGCTGAAGATATCAAGTAAAGTTCGGTTTCATAAAGCATTCTAAACTCCTAGATTATATGACCATTTCTTTCCATTATAATTATATTCGACTACTTCAATATCACCTTCTTCCATGACCTTTGTAACTAACGTGATCTGCATATTTATAATTCAACTACGCAGAATATTTGTTAGTAATATCAGGGTTGATCGATATTTACTGTATTACACTTCAGGATGCATTCATGCTGACGGTAATCTGTTAATCGTGATTGGAATTGATTTATATAACAAGTATAAAACTCGAGTGCCTCATATGTGACTATTATTAAAATTCACTAATTCATTTAGTGGATTACATACTAAAGAAGTACAGTTTCACCCTGCACACAACGGCTGATAATGCCATGTTATTTGAAATCTATAAATAGCTGCTACTTTTGCGTGGTTGTCAGGCTTGCATATCACAATGACCCAACCACCTGCCCTCGCTGGAACACTCCCTTCAAGTTCCTAACATACCAGAAAGGTCTGTTGGGAAGTGGTGAGACGAAAAGCAGTTACCGTTGAAGTATAAATCGCTACATTATGAAGGGGAATCGAGGGTGAAGACGTACTGCTGGCTGAGTGGGTTGTGATAGCAGTAGGGTGTTTCCTTTGCAAAAGAGTTATATGAGAAGCTATCAAATTTGCTACACATAGCGAAAAGTTCAGATATGGTCACAATGGCCGGCGACTGTAACGCTCAAAAACGGAACCTGAGCCAACCACAGGTATATACAGAATACAACGAACTGGCAAAGGTGATCATTTAATGTAGCTTCTGACAATCACTTGTTCCTACCCAGCCCAATAAGCACAATATCAGAGAATTGCTGGAAGCTTGGCATTCAGGTCAGTCTGCAATCAATAGATGTATAGACATAAACCCAATCTATCTACCAATAAGAAAAATGATAAACGACAGAAAGGTCAGAGGTGAAGCAGAGGAACAGCCAACAGGAAAGTCTATACAGTCAATGACACAACAATCGAAGGAAACAATCAACCACAGACCACATCGTCAGAGCAAGCTACTAAATCACTCACGGAGAGATATTGACAGCTCACTTCATACTGAAGTTGGTGCTGATGATGTCGTCTAGCAAGGCGATGAAAGCTTCACGATTAAACAACCCAGCTCAGAGATCACAATACAACCAAGACGTAAGTGCATCTTCCCCTTGTTTTGTGTACTGTGTTGTCGTACTTTTTGGAAGCTGCAGTCATTGCATTTAAAATTGCGCTTATTTAAAAAAAACTAAACCGTTTGTTTTAGTATTTTCTTTAATTCTTTATGGTGGTGTAATTTAAGTGTGTAAACTCATGTACTGTTGGTTATCAGATCATCCATATTGGCACACAACTAATTGATCAAGGCGATGAAAGCTTCACTATTAAACAACCCAGCTCAGAAAACACAATACAACCAAGACCATCCACCTGAGCTACAAATATTTTCCGGTATTTCAAAATCATACGAGCGTGACACGCTTCACGTTGTTCGAAGATGGGAAGGCTTCTCCAAAAGGCAGGCTTCCACAAAAGGACAACTATTCTTTCTCCATGAGTGCCTACGTAGGCATGTTCTGCCGAAGAGTGTCAGACATAGACCATCGATTACCTGCCCAATGGGATGGAAAATAGCTGAACAAAGTGGAAGACAAATAGTACAATTGATGATCACGGATGCACACCATCGGATCCGGAAATACCAATCAGTGATTAACAATCAAAACAGAAAACTAGAAAGCGTACTCACGACGCAACACCTGAAAACGTTGACGACTGCAACTGAAAAATCAAGCGGACGATACAAAGAACAATGAAGAAAAGTCCTCAGGAAAAAGCTACTCAAAATCTCAGAAGCACCCACAACTGAA